CATGTGTGGAGGTATAGGGGAGGGAGTAAAAATTTTTGGCAGCCTGGATCGTGGGTGGAGGTTGCGCACCACTGCTGTGGCCAAAATATGGGCAGAGGAAGGCACCTGTTGGGTTGGGTCAGACAGTTCCAAATGTGAAGTAAATATTCAGTGGTTGTTCACAGAGCTAATTTAAAATAGCAATATATCAATATTTTGTTATTGATACAGTATTTTTGAGAGGATTAGTAGGCTTGCTTTGATTATATTTTACAAGTTTGTATTGTATAGTATACTGTCATCGCAGGGGTTATACTGACCTATCTGCCTGTTGGTCATGGCATGTTGCAATGTTTCTAAAATATCTCTCAGTTTTAATTTGTCATTGTTTGTTTCAAAATTTGTTTTTAAATCAAATGCTTCAACCCGAACTTCATTAATATTCCAATTGTCCCCAAATTTGGTTTTAATGACAGAGATTGCAGGAACACACTGATGGCAATGAACAGCAACAATCTCGAAGACATTTATTTAATATAAATACAGTTAAAGAAGATAGAAAACACAGAACCAAATCAATTGCAGTTCTAGGTGAGATAAAATGCAAGTCTCTGTATTACATTAAGAGATTCAGCCTTGTATTGACTGCATGAATATTTGCTAGTAAAAAGTAATTTAATCATCTTTTCATCACCCCAACACAAATACATGTATAGTATATACAGACATATTGGGTAGGACTGCAGACAAATGCGTAGCCCAGAGAGCTTGTTGCCTCACAGTTTCATGTTCAGCTGGTGGATGAGTTGTGGTTATAGTGTCTATTCTTTTCGTTCCCATTTTACGACCCTATTTCTGCCTCTTCCTCTTCACAGAGTATGCCTCAGCTGCCCTTGTGACAGTGTTGAAGGAAATAAGATGGAGAGAAAATAGCGACTTGTTCTAAGAATAGCAGCCCGATTGCCCATCATAGTGGGATATTTGTGGTAGGCCACGCAGCTATTTACACATATTGGAGGGCCTGTGAAGTGGGTCAGGTCCTTGTCTAGATGGATGGCTTGTTTGGATCACTGATTGCGGCAGGAGCTGGAATCGTGATGTGATCGTGTCTCTGTCCCTACACGTACACAGAGGCTTGACATTTGCACATGCACACACACAGAAAGTAGGCACAGAGAGCAAAAGACTTGGGCCAGCAGAGACATTATGGTGGTAGTCGTTTTCTTAATGACACACAACATTACACAGGACGAACCTGGGGAAGCTTTAGTGTTTAAAGATGTATGGAATACGAATTAATAGTTTTATAAGATGACTTTGAGAATTGTATTATAATTATGATAATATAATAATAGCTTTTATTTCTATAGCACCTTTTAAACCACAAGTGCAAACCTATTGGATAAAAACACACATGTAAAATACAAGTTTACAAACATACATACATACATATCCTTCCATACACACATTTGTATAACACACAGCAAAGGTAAAAGGAAACACACCATTTAAAAAAAGGCTCATTTATAAAAGTGAGTTTTTAGCAATCCATTAAAATAAATCATGGAATAAGCACATCTGATGGAATAATCTCCTTATTCCAAAGTTTAGGAGCTACAACTGAGAAAGCACAGTCACCTTTGTATTTAACATTTTTGCGTGTGACCGATGGCACTTTATACAGGGTTCTTGTGAGGGGACAGGATGGACCTGATTAACATTCAGATAACAATCAGCACTGTCAGTGTGTTTGGGTAAGATAAGATAATCAGTCACAACACAACAAGATCACAGTTTCATGGATTTAATATGTAAACATAGTTGTATGACTTGTTTACATATTTTCCAGAAATTCACAAGAAAGTTCAGAGTTTGCTACTATTCCATTGATTGGTACAGATATGCACAAAAACATTTATTTTAATTTTATATGACAAACAATATTCAGATCCATGTGATGCTGTATATTCAAGAGTTCAAACTTAGATTTATTGTGTCATACAAGCTGGCAGATCACTCTGAAAAAAAAACATGACTTGACTTATTTTAGGGTGTGATGTCTTTTCATATCATACTGAGAATACATTTCAAACAATGGACTTGATTCAATCAAGTATTGGAAGCATGGGGGAAACTGTCAAATACATCAAGGATGTTTGCTAGGGGTGTGGAGAGAATGTAGACTAGAAAACAAAAAACTGAAAATACTCTTTGGCACCATTCTGATTATGCTTGTGGTTTACGGTTAGTCACATGTATCTTGCTGAGTCAGATCAGCACTACAAGTAATGTCTGTTAAACACTGCACTGATTGCTACAAATGATTGGTTTCATAAATTTTTGTTTTTGCAGGTGACAGCATTATTAAATATATGATAAAGAACAAAAAAAGAAAAAATGGTCATACTTATTATACAACGACATGGTACTAAAAAGGGGAATTATTATTCAGCCAGGGCCTATAAACACAAAAACACACAGACAATCTACCTCAATCACATAATGCAGAAACAATATTCTGTTCTGCACCAAAATCATTTATTGCCTTGTAAAATGATCCATCCCTGCTTCCTTACAAATGGTTTTTTATTTAATCCTTATACATCACATTACACTATATTTGGTGGATTTCTTTAATTCAGTGGTGGAATTTCAAATTCTGAATTAAATTATTAGGGTGATACAAACTGCATGTATCCAGCATCTATTAGTGCAGTTCAAACACACACAAACAGTTGTTGCCTCCATGTGTAGATAGTTTCCATACATCCCTTCTTCTCTTTGCAGAGTCACGAGGATGATGGGAAAACCCTCCAATTATTTAATTGACCCTTTTCAGGTTGTCATAAGACCTCAGAGCGCATTAACAATGAGCCCTGTCATCTGTTTCCTTATCCGTTGTAAATTATATAATCTTTTTAAAAAAGCTTTGCCCGTCATACATTGATCACTGAGTTTTGTTTGGCATGTATTTGTTTGGAGTGACAGCTGGGTGGAGTTGGGTGTCACCTAAAAAAACACCCAGAAACAATCAAGCATTTTAAAGTCACTTTAGTTTGTTAGTTTAGTTTTAGTTACTTTCTCTATCAGATGGCCCATTTATGTATCTGTTGTTCCTCTTCTTGCTTTGCTTTTGGACTATCTCAGTGACATCTTTTTGTTATAAAGAATTGTCATTGTCAGTGAGAATGCACCATGTGTGTCTTTCCTAATTAATTTTTTTAAAAAGTATTTTTTGGGGCTTTTATTGCCTTTATGATAGTGACAGTTGAAGAGAGACAGGAAAGGGGGGCAGAGAGAGGGGACCACAGGTCGGAATCCTGGGGCGCTGCAGCAAGGACTCAGCCTCGGTACATGGGTCGCCAGCTCTACCCACTGAGCTAACCGGGCACCCAGTCTTTCCTGATTTTGATAGGAATCTGATGTATGAGATGCTGAGATGAGTTGATGTTTCTTCCTGCAGAACGGGTTCTAATCTGATTGTGTTGCATTCATTTTACTAGATAAAGATCAACTTGCAAAGACATGACATCTGCCTGAGACAAGCAAACGATCAAAGTCTAAAGTATACTACTACTGATACTATACCACACTATTATAGTTTTATTTTATTTATTTATTTATTGTGTTGTTATATTACTATATTTCACTACTACAATATACTTTATCTTATCTCATACTATATTATTCTATATTGTTACAGTTATCTGTTATACTATGTTTAATTGTTATGCACCATCAAACCAAGATAAATTCCTTCAATGTAAAAACCTACTTGGCAATCAACCCGATTCAGATTCTTATTACATCATATACTTAGCTATATTTCTATTATTTTAAATTTTTAAATTATCTTTAAAGTCTGCGTTAAGCAATAATAAATATGATTTCTGAGTTTCTCACACCAAAGAAAAAAAGTGATATTAACCACCCTGCTAAATTTGAATGATTAAAAACATTGCCAAGTATATGAAATTAGGTTTCAAAAATGGGGGGAAAAATGCATTGTTCTCTGCTCTGAAACGCTGTGTGCTCTTTTTACTTTCTCTTTCTCTGTACTCATAAATGTCCTTGTGCTGATGCAACAACCAAATTTCCCTCTTGGGATCAATCAAAAGGATTATCTATAATCTGTACATGCATGTTCTTTACAGCAATCACCTATATGTATTTTTATTATTATTATTATTATCATTTAACAGATTGTATTTGTGACTCTGGCTGAGCCTTTAGATTTTCCTCCACAACCACTGCTTCACACAGCTAACCTAACTCACACACACACACACACACACACACACACACACACACACACACACACCTGTACACAAATCCACTTTAGAAACAAGAACCACGAGATTATCATGATGAAAGAAATTCAACACAGAAAATAAAAAAGATTAGAAAGAGCAGAGTCATCCTCTTCAGCCCGTGTATTATATGTAAGTAATGTCCCTGGATCTGCACTCACATGATTCATTTTGGTGTACGGGTGCCCCATCTACAGGCTGAAGCCTATACCAGCACGCTGCAGACCACTAGGTGGAGGCAGTGCTGCATATTTGATATTTACTTAGACATTATTATTATATTATAACTGATCAAGGAAATACCCTTAACGTGAAAATATGTTAACACTTGAACCAGAACAGGTACACCATATTACTACCTGTAGTCCTCCAACAAGGTATGTTTTCGCATGTACTTGCAAGCAATACGGTGAATAATATCAGGATGCCTATATTTTTTTGTCCATTATATATTTTAATATACGTTTACATTATTTTTAAAGCCCGTATTGTTAAACATATTTCTGTCTAGGCCGGGTGAACTAGCTATAGTACTCCTCATGTCTGAAGAATTGGGACAGACATAAATATTACACATGAACAACAGCCCGCCTGAATCACGTGTGCTCGGTCTCCAGCAAGGGATTTGCAAAAAAATGAGTCACCGGTCTCGGTGAATGAGATTTCACTTCCTGCAATATTGTGAGCCAGTGTTTCCGCTCCAGCCGGCATACTAGATCTACACAGCATGTGCGCTGTCTGCTCAGCCCCGCAGAGAGCGAGTTAACCCCATCCAGCTGAGTGCACGTCGGTGAAAGTGCTCCGACACGTCGTGCTCGAACGGAACCATTGAATTCAAACCGTGAACTGGAGTCAGAAAAGGTCCGGGGGGGGGCACTTGTGTTTCTGCAGGTTGCCTGTCAGCTGCTTACCTGGGAGCCGGTGATCCACCCAGGAGGTATTTGGATTGTTTTATTCATACGCCTGTAAGGCGTTTAAGTCACATGTCCTTTGCTTTGCCTGCTTCAAGCTGTTTACGTGTTTAAACGTTTACGAGTCATCTGCTGCCACTGTGAGCAGACAGGCTCGGTAGCCCTTTATTGGGGTATTATAACCATGATTAATGAGATTTTGTCCGGCAGCTGGTGGAAATATGCAATCCTTGTCCACACTTTAGTTATCTGGGACAGCCAAACAGCTGCACTATTGTTCAGTACTTTCAGTGCAATCTTCCACCACAGGTCATAAACAGCCTCCTGTGTGAGTGGCTGCTGTGTTTGATGTGTTAGAGACACTCTCACTTTGCTTTTTGGTTAAAGATCACTGGTTTATTCTTCCATAGGAGTGTTTGTAGACAGTGAGAGTGTTACACAGTATTATCTAATACAGGTAGCTTTCATTCATTCTCTGTTAATAGCTGTTTTTTTCTAAAGTTGGAGGGAAAACAAAGCTCTTTCAAATATGCTTAGGCTTTGCAGTGCTCCTTGTTTCAAGGAGTTCAAAGGTCAGGGTCAGCTAGAGCACAGAACCTCCTGCAGCTGAGGGATTCACTCCGATGATACTAGTTGATACCAGGAGTTCTGCACTACTGGGGAAAAGGACACAGTTTTAATGTGCTTTATAGTTTTGTGCTGGTTTGCTCTTTTGTGATGTTCATGTGACAAGATGAGCGGTAAAATTAACCTTTAATATTAAAGCAAGTGTTGTGAATGCACAAGGACAAAATGAGAATAAGAATAGAAACTATGCAAAATCAAAATGACAAGGCAGGAGTGACATAGTTTGGGATTAGTAACAGCAAAGTCAGCACGCATATACGTAATTTCTCACATATTTCTACCAGATACAAGGATAAAAAGTATTTTAATTGTCATTTACAACACAGGATTGTATAATGAAATTAAGGTTGTAGTTCACTTTATGCTACTATATAATACAATAATTATTTACAGGAAAATGTATTAATAACCCATAAGAATAAAAGATACTATTTTGATCGATGTGGTGTTGAGGTTGACGCAGCCTGTCCTTAAGTCTGGTGGTACGGCAGCTGAAGCTTATGTCCCTCTACTAATTCTACCAGTGGGTGCTGTGTTTTATTATCTGATGCTTGAAAAATGAGACAATCCCGGTGGAAATTATTGTGTATTGTTGCTTTTAGCCCGTTCATTTTCCGGTCTGATTCTTTTGGCGTTTTGCTGCCTGAGACAGTATATTGTTTGTTACTAACACTACAAGCTGCTGAAGTAAGAGCTCTTCCTCAAGTCTTACACAAAGGGGCTTTAAAAACAAGCAGCATGTTGAACTGCTCTTTAGATAAGTTTTGACCCAAAGGAAAACATCACTGTAAGTCATCATGAGATGTAGATGATAAGTTTTTTTACATTTAGATTCAGTAACTTTATCTTCAGTGTCAGAGCATGCAGACTTATTTTTCATCCTCATCCAAACTATCCACAAGACAAACTGTCTGTAAGTCAATTTAATAATTTCTGTTGTTGAGTTATAGGTGCAGGCTTGTAAGAGTTGCAAGCAGTGGTTCATATTATTATTATTATTATTATTATTATTAGAGGGATTATAATACCGTCCCTCTGCATTAACTGGTGGGTCTTTCTGCTGGATGACTCTTGTGTGAGTAAACCGCTACACCCTGAAAAAATTATTAACTGTTAAATGGTCAAAAACAGCTGCGTTACTCTTTTTTTGTATGCAGCTTCTTCCTCTCAGTTTCCCACCTTTTCACCATTTGTTTTAATTTTTTCCTTCCCTGACTCCACCCCTCCCGCTCTCTCCCCCTTTTCTTGCCTCTCAAATCGTGAGCACCTCCTCAGCACCTCCTCCAGCTCTTAGATATTTCTCAACCTGTAATGACTCTCTTAGGATATCCATTTCCACACCAAAGCTGGAACTTAAAAAGGGCCCAGACAAATATGATAATTGTCTCCGAAAGGCCTGCAGTCTGACACACTTGATTTTTCATTTCTGTTGCTTTTTTCCTCCTTTTGTTTTGTTCCGCACAGCTCTCTGAAAAGCTGTGAATGTTCACCATATGGACCTGAAATCTAAAAGGGTATTCCCCTCTTTCTCTGATTTACTCTGATAGAAAGGTGGCCCTCATTCAAAACCCTCCTGGGACTTTCTATAAGTGAGATATTTGACCCACAGCCAATGACCGAATAGATAAAAAATGCAAACATACTCCATATTTATTTTTGCTGCACCTCCGCTTATCCTCTTTGATGTAAACTCCATTTTCTCTCTCGTTTTGCTCCGAGTGATTCACAAGGTCATCATGAATTTTGCAGTTGCTTGGGAGTCGAGGGAGGCGAGATGGTGAGGTTTCTGGCTCTTGTGGCCAGTGTAAGTTGAGTAAAGAAGAGGAATATTACCTAGTTGTCAAGCTTGAAATGAAAGCTGTTTTAAATGTGAAATCTTTATGATCATCAGTTTACACTAGCTTCAAAATTACACATTAAAGGCCCGTCAGATTCCCTTAACAGTTTGTGCAAATTAGTCCAAGTGTATTGCAGCCATTTAATCCACTTTCTGTTGTTATTTGTTATTTGGACATATATATATGTTTAGAACAGTGGTGAGTACCTCAGGGCCAGCTGTGTCAAAATAATGCAGCAGCCAATCAGAATTTAGTGTTCTCCACAGGCCTATTTGTAATAGTCGTATAGTGTTGACCTTTACAGTGCTTGCAGAATAACATTTAGATAGCGCTGAGCAGAGGGTAATCTTTTGTCTCAACACATCTGCAGCGGCCTCTCTGTCCGAGCTGTTCTCTCTTGTTTATTTTCTCCACCCTAATGAATGGTTTTATAATAACCCGAGGCTCGATTGAGCTCAGCTAATCGTAAGATCCATGCCGAGACACAGGAAGTACAGTGTGTCCACCATGGTGGGGGAATGGACTCTCAGCCTCATAGATTAATAACAGAGTCAGTGAGCGGTTGAGTGGGTGCAGTCTGCAGGGACTGTTAATGAGGCGCGTCCATAGTAAGACTTAATTACTTGGGAATGTGTTTTGGGAAACATGAACTGAAGAACTAGGACAGCGATATCGAGGGAGAAAATATTTAATGAATGTAGGTTTTTGTGCTTAAAAGAGGAGCTCCATGAGTGACAGGTGTGTAGAGGAAGATGAGGTGTGCACATGTTGCAGCTCCTTTAGTTACCTCCTGTTCTTGATAACCTACTGCAAACTTAAAGAAAATGTTTTTATGCAATAGTTTCTACTATGTAGGAAAAAAAGAATGTGTGTGTGACTGAATTTTAAAAAGCACACAGCCCAGTGAATTTGAACCTGTCCAGAGGACAGAGATGACTTCATCATTACCTCACCCTGCTCTGCTAGAGGACTTATCAAAAACATGTGGCTCCACTCTCCCAGCACACTGCAAATTGATTGAGTCTTGGACTGCAATGTTTTTCCTTTGTTAGACGATGTGTGTATTTGCGTGTAAGCAGGTTCATTTTATTATCTTTCCTTTTTTGTCTCTCTCTGGGTTTTGACTTCATCCGTCATTCATTTGGCTTGTTTCAGCGTGTAGGTCTGGGTTTGGTCAGACAGGGCAGAGGCAGGACAGGATTATACACACCGTGTCTGAGCACATGAGCTTGGGTGTACGTGTCTGTTACACTCAATGAAAAGCCCAACAGGCATTACATTTTATTAACCATATTATTGCACAATAACAATATAATACAGCGCTAGCCTTTTAACTTCGTTACCTTTGGTATCAATCATCAAATTCTTGGCAAAGAAAAGTGAATAAGCATGTTTCCCAATATTTTCAGCTGTTCCATTAAAGTAAAGTGGTGGATCCAAACATTTTAGCAGGAGTTAGGACCCAGTTATACCAGTAAGTTGCACACAGTGAAATTAATCAGCACATTTTCACAAAATATTTGGTGATGTAGGGACTATAGGTATAGCTGGTGAACTGCTGTAACTGGTGAGCCAGATGAGAAAATGCTAACCCTGGAAACATTTGCTGTCTGTGGTTCTTTCTGTTTTCTCCTTTTTGTGCTGTTTACTCCCACCTGGCATGTTGTTCTCAAGGGGAATCTCACTGTACACAATTTCATTCAATAAAGACTTTTATTTAAGAAGGAAAACAACTTCTGAACTGCTTTCTAACTGTCAGCAAGCTCGATAGCTGGGTTACTAATCGGACAGTACCCCCATAGAGTTTATTGAAAAGATGTGTTCATACCATCAACCATAAGTAACATCCCTCTTTTGTGGAACAGTTTATACTCTTAACAGAGGGAGGGAGTTATATACCAATGGATTGTACAACCACACAGCTAATAAGCTAAAGTTATAGCGTCCTTCATTTTGGACTCTCTGGCTCTCTGTTCCCTCAAAGGTCAGTAGCGCTGTTTAGTGCTTATCAACTCGATGCAAAAACCACATCCGTGGGCAAATCCACTAATCCTGATGATTTCATGGGAATTCATTGATTATGCTGTGAAATGTTGCTGTTTTAACAGCTGACATTAAAAGACAGGAGGCTAGAATAAAAACAGTATATCCTAGAAAAAAAACTTGTTGTGACATGGTTGCTGTTTACTTACTATTGTTTGCTTTCTTTAGTTATAAATATCAGTTCTGATCAGCTGCTGATGCTTACGTGACGCTAACAATCTTGATAACGTGACGCTGAGCTGCACTGCTGATCTGCAACTTCAGTGTTGTAGTTGTTATGCTCTGATTCCTCTGACTGAAGGAGGCGAAGCTGAACGGTCTCTTGTTTCTTGCTATTGTGCATCCACAGTCAGGGTGCTGTTTGATGTGATACATGTGTGGGCTGAGTGTTTAGATTCCAGGGTTGTTTGGTTGCCAGAGCCAGAGGTCCCAGCGGGGAGGGGTTAGAATAACCTTATTATACACTTGTGGGTGGATGAATTACTGAAAGCATCCGGCCTGACGTGGAGTACAACTGA